TCATCTGTCACATGGCGTGTCTTCCTCAAAATAATATCCAATAAGTGTATCATTGTGAAACAAGCTTTCGTTGCAGCCACCTTTCTGGAAAGTTCTGAACACAAACGGGAATTTGAAGTAAAGTTCTGAACAGCTCACGGATGTTTCCGTACCGTATCTCTCCCATTTGTGTATCCATTTACCGGACTGACATAAGGTAATATTGTAGTTCGTGTCTATAACAGATCTTGGCTTGGCTGGCGTTAACAATCGAAGACCCATGAAAGGTCGTCTTTTTAGAGGAAATACGATATTTTTGGGAAATACGTAGTTTTGTTTGTACTGTTGGGCAACATCCCAAATGTGCGTTTCGTTTTCTGCGTAAAAGAAAATATCCAAATATGGCCATTTCCAGCTGTAGCCTCGAATTTCATCTGCTTTGACTGAGAAAAGCTTCCACGTGAAGTCCCAGTCCTTGTTGAGGACATGCTGAGGGCTCACGCTTGAGAGGACTTCGTTTAAGACACTTTTGTTTGAATATGGCACTAGAACATCGACGTCGTCGTCCCAAGGGACCAAGCCATGGTGTCTGTAGGAACCAATAAGAGATCCTCCGTACAACATGTAGTCTAATCCATTTCTTGTCATAACTAAATCAAACATTGCTATGGTATCTAATAAAAGTTCAAGTGCTGGACCATAAAGGCGGGGTCTGAAATATGTACTTGAATCCCTTGATGCTTTAGTCCTCTTTAAAAAGACACTATTGTTTCGTGGAATATGTCTTACGTTAAGTTTTACAGACATTGTTTTTTGTGGCTCTGTATTTGGGTAGATTGGTGGACTTTTAGGTGGGGCGTGATTCAGCTTCATTGTTAGAACTTTCAGTGGTTTTTCATTGAACTCCACAAGTGGAATTTCGGGCGGTTTTTCATTCAACTGTATAGGTGGAACTCCGTGTGATACGTTGTTCTTCGGTACTGGTGGAGATACCGACACGTCATCGTTGTAACTTGAACCTGAAGCCTCTGCTGTATTAATAATTCGAGATCGGGTCAACGAATGACTTGAATAGTTATAGACAATGGACGATCTGGAACGTAGGCTGGTTGTGGCTGAATCTAACATGTAGTGGGTGTGTTCTACAGCACCGAACACCAGCATTAAGGTAAACGTGTACAAACTGACAGTGAGTCCCAAGAATACAGCTCTCTTCCCCGCCAAGACTGCCAGAAAGTGCGTCATTCCAATGGCGACCACTGTCTGGGAGAAGCAATCTGAAAAGGAAGATAGGTAAAGACATTTCAGCTGTGCGTGAATGTACTCCTTTCAGAAGTACAATTCTTTTTCTGAGTTAGCCCTTAATAGGGTTGTTGGTACGCTGAGTTGCGGTTTACATCTAGGTTGTGATAAGTACGCTGTTTTACACATCTAATTCCAGTGAATCACTCATTGGTGGCCATTGACTGCATGTTTTTTTGAAGTGAAGTAGTTTGTTCTCTTTTCCCCATAATGGAGGTCTAGGAACCTGCCAGGTGAAGGAAGTACAATGGACACAACGTTTAATGTCAACAGTCAAGAACTTTTTCAAGAACATCAGACGTTAGGCAATCAACCTACAATTGTATAGACCAGTTAGCACTCTATATAAGACGTGGTCAACAGCATGCTGGTCACCTGTGCCTCCTGTATGTTCTGGTAGGCATTTTAAGATAGATCTACCTGTAAGCTATATGTCTTTTTTTTTTTTAAACAAATTTCTGTGTAGGTTCTACGTCTCCATCTGGGGTATGAAAGAAGAGTATATCCAGTGTCACCCAGTGACACAGAATGCCACCATTCGGATAAAAATCCCCCAGGCGCAAGTCCCAGAAACCACTTTCAACCGTTAGCTTTCATTAGGGGCTCCTGACGATAGCCGGAGAGGGGTTTTAAAATAACGAAAAATTGCGTCCCATAGTCGGACGGAGAATAATATTACAAACGAGTATGGAGACAAATTGAGAACGAGGACTGATTTGCTTCAGTAACAGAAATATAGACAAGAAAATGGAAATGTATTCCCTGTACTACAAAAAAAAAAAAAACTAGTTTGTTACTTGGTATTGGCAGTGTTAAAAGACGAATACCTTGTCAGGAAAAAAAAAATTAAATATATTTAATTGGCTGATACTGAAACAAGGCTCTGCACATGATGATAGTAGTATTGTACCACCAGCAAACACATTGGGAACCGTTAGTCTAGAAATAAGCTGTAAAACTGCCACTGGAAAATAATAAACGAACCCACTAAATAATGATGTAGCTACTTCAAACGAAACAATAAAACAGCATTCTGTTACCAATAAATCATTTGTTTCTGAATAAACTTGCTATAAAATGTAGGTTAATCTCAGTTTTGGTTAGAGTGTAGTGTTAAATTAGAAAGAACGTGCAAGAAACGGCATAAAAATAAGCATCTCATTGATAAAGCGGGAAATAAATACACTCGTTGTATTGCAAACAAACACGTCTATTAAAGTTGATGGGACATGGTTCGTGTAGTTTAATGCCTGCATTCAGAGGCGCATCTAAGGGAACAGCTGAATTTGTATTCTCCGCGAACAGTTTACGTTTGTGCTCGTTTTGGTTTCAGGACTTCCATTTATATTTGTTTTTATTTTATTTTATTTTCCGCGGGAGGAGAAAATGGGGTTTTCGGGGAAAGGGGGTGTTGGGGCGGCCCGGGGGGTGGGGGGGGGGGTGTTAGTCTTACTGCCTTTTACACGCTAATCAGAAAAGGTGACTGGTTAAGGGTTTGCTGAAGTCGACTGTGTTGTGTAGAAAAGCCTAAAATGGCACAGTCTGGCTGCAAAGAATATTGCAACGTGACTTTTCAGGAAGAAGAATATTCAAGTAAAAGTAAAGGACCTCTTTCCACGCCTTCAGTCGTGTTGGGCATATAGGGCTAGACCTGCATTTTATAGACTAATTGGCATTGGTGGTTGTGAGTCGGGGTTTACTTCCAAAGACTGTACCTGGTACCAATTTAAGGCTGGGTCGACCTGGGAGTCAAGGTCATGTTTGAAAGAAGTCCATTTCCGTCAGGATTTGAACCCACAACCATGTGATCCGCAGGCAAGCGTTTGTCAGCTACACCACGGAGAAGTGGTGGTATTCTTTTTCGGCTCCTGAAAGAAGAAGCTGGCTGCGTGGTCTCGAGGCATGGTATCCACTTTGAGTGCTAGAGGTTCCGGGTTGAATCCCTGGTAACGGCTGGAATTTTTTCACGTGGACTTTGACTTCTAGTAATTTCCCTCGATCTATGGGTAGTGAGATCGGACGCCCGTGTGCATTGTTGATGTTAAAATATAATTAGGCCGTTGGAAATAGACAACAGTAATCTAACGGCGCTGCCCGAGCAAAATTTGGAGTTAAAAATCTACCCAAAGTATTTCAGGATCCTTGCCGGTGCTACAGAGCCTGTGCACTGTGTTGAGCTTCTTCGGCCTCAGACTTCAGTTGGAGGAGGACGGAGCCCTTGGAGGTTGCACCGGTGAACCATGATCTCGATCCGTTGTTCAAAACCTCCTGGAAGAAGAATAGTTAGGGTAGAAGTTGGGCCCATTATCTTCCCCTGCCAAAAGTCACACTGTTCTTTCTTTAATTGTCGAGGCAAAACATTGAACCATCAACGATGGGTGGTCCATTAGCGTGCTGGTAGATGACTTCGTCACCGGGTGTGAAAGTATTTCGGCCTGTCTCGTGTGATCACACCAACACTGCAGGAGTCCTTTTCGTGGCTTTTGGTGGCTAAACCATTTTATCGGGCACACATAACCAAGTCACAATTATAACCTAACTCTTCCCCTTCGTGGATGCTGATTGAACGTGGGGATATTTTTTTTCCAGCGAAGCACCTACTTACCTACTGTAGGGATTAAATAAAAAACCCACACAAAGAACGAGCCTCCTTACCTATTTTATAGGTGTGGTTGGTTTAGGGGGGGGGGGGTTAATTCACGTATTACAGAATAATGATATTAACAATAATAATAATAATAATAATAATAATAATAATAATAATAATAATAATAATAATCTGCTTTTTGACAAATAAATATAAAAATCTAATTTAAATAACATGTTGTTTTTTTAAAACTGTCTATGCATAATCGCTTAGCCCGTTTACAAAACTGTTGGACAGCTCATACCCACCTAGATTTGAGTGTTGGGTGGGGGTGGCGGAGTTTGCTTTTTGTGATGTCTTTTATTTACGTTTTCATTCCGAGAAAGAGAATGCCTGTGACATAGGTTGCAGCACTCTCTAGGGAGGTGGTGTTAGTATCGGTTTCTCCATGTTTTTGGAGTGTTAAAAACGCTGGCGTGCTGAAATATACAAAATGCGATATAAACGGCATTGCAGAACACCCCCGTAACCTTGTGCCAAGGTGACAGGTTCAGGAACTACCAATCATAAGTGAGCTAGTGTGTATATGGGAGACCATCGTTACTTTTACCAGGTGGAGAAATCTCTACTCCAGGCTCTCCAGCCGGTAGATACGCCGATGACGGGAAACACAACAAGGGAATAAGTGTGGTTTTGTAGAGATCGGTGTGAGGCCGTTGTAATCTCGCAGGAAGAGGCTTTGCAGAGCGCGGGAAAGGCGAATGGATTTTGGAGGACAGATTTATGTCTGGCGCCAAGGGCAGGATCAAATGGGCTTGTAAATAGAAAAATACTGACAGGGAAGACGCAGATTGGTAGACGAAGGTGTGGTTGGTAAAGTAATTGCTGCTATAGCAGTGAATTTCTCAGAAAACGGGGGCAAAGGGTAGAGTCAGGTCTCCCAATGCTGGCTTTTTTTCCCCAGATCTGTGTTTTTTTCTTTTTTCATTTGACACCTGGGGGGGGGGGGGGGGGGGGGGGTCTGTTTTTTTTTTAATATATCCTTATATAAGAGTGGAAAATGTTTTGTTTCGTAACGATAAATTGTGTACATTTTTTTTTGGTTCTCTGTCTATGTATTGCTTGGGTTTTTGTTTAGCGAAGCTGGGTTTTTCAAAAAAATCCTATTGGCAGCCCTGGGTAGAGTGAGATTTATGTCACTGACGTCTGCAATCAGAGTTTTTTTCCCCAGGAAAGTAAAAGTGCAGGTACTTACTACAAAGTATCTCAATTAAAATGTTGGTACCCACCAGAACGTGCCTATGTTTGTTTTAGTATCCAGAAGCCATGAGTTGTTAACCCTTAGGCTCGGTATTATGGATATCGCAACCTTTCGGCCTTGATTCCATTGTAAATACCGTAAATCTGGGAGAAAATGTGGCTTTCCTGCATACCCCCGGGATTGAACCCGGAAAACAAGGAGTTCGTTACCCGGTCTCCGCGCAATCCGGTTTAGCCAACTACGCTAGAGAGCCGGGCCAGAACGTGCCTATTAGAGTAACGATGAAACGAAACAAACTGCAAAGGTACCAGTACTCACTAAAAAAAAAAATCTCAAACAAAACGCTAGTTCCAACCACAGTATCTATTAAATAAGGCTGAAAAAATGCTGAAAACGGTGCCAGTACTCAGTACAAAATAACTAAAACAAAATCTGTTGTTACTTGTAACAAACAAATTGTCTGCTACAGTAAGGCTAAAAAAAATATCTGAAAAGGTG